TATAATATTTTATTATAGTGGCCTGCTGAGTAAGAAGTATAGGAAAAGAATTCTTTAGTGAAATTAAGTGAATTATGCTAAATTGAGAAATGCAGTTATCTATTATAATATTATTTATATTTTTTTCAGAGCTGTGGGCTTTGGTCTTGCCAGTTTGTTTTAGCCAATTAATGATTTCAACAGGAAAGTTTTAATGTTAGTGTAAATGAATAGGTCACAGGATTAAGTATAGATGTTTTTAAGCATTATGTGATCTACCAGCTGTGGAGACTTGGTTCCAAATTAAAATACAAGAACCAGTATCTTAAAACCATGATTTTAAAAAAAGGAAAGAGTACACATACAAATAAACATTTTAAAGAGGAAAAAGTCAGCCCAAAATTCAGCATGGCAGTGGTAATTCCCTCTGCTTACCATGCCTTCTTGATTTTGAAATGTACAAGTCTAGTCATTGGTCATAATACTACTGAAACTTGGACCTTTGTCAGACTCTTAAAAGTCAATAGATCCAATATAAAGCATCAACTTCCTTGCCTTAGTTTCTCCATTAGCCCAATGTCCTCTTGTGCTTCCCAAGTACTCACCTGTCTTTTCACTCACTGCATATTAACATTGTTTGCTGACGTATCTTTTCTTCCTCTGTGGGACTTAAAAAGCTTCAAGGAGATAGTCTGTCTTGTTTCCCTAGTGCCTGATGTTAATTGGAGCTCCATAAATGATGTTGAATAGAACAGAACTATTCCCAGGCAAAATGTGTCCTCATGGGGACTTCCCTGGTGGTCCAGTGGCTAGGACTCTGTGCTCCCAATTCAGGGGGCCAGGGTTGGATCCCTGGTCGGAGAACTAGATCCCACATACTACAACTAAGACCTGGAGCAGCCAAATAAATACATAAATATTAAAAAAAAAAAAACTGGAAAAAAATAAATGGAAGTCTAAAAAAAAATAAATGTGTCCTCATGTAGTGCAGTTTCTCACTCTGCCTGTGGCCCACACAAATGCAGACTCTTGACAGCGTATAGGAGTTGGCAAGCAGGCCTTTCTGCAGCCCGCCTGCCCAGAGTGCAGGCAGCTGCCTGAGAACGCTCTCTTCACCTTAGTAGGGCAAAAATCTGACAGTGAGTATCAGTTCAGTTCAGTTGCTCAGTCCTGTCCGGCTCTTTGTGACGCTGTGGACTACAGCATGCCAGGCTTCCCAGTCGACCCATCACCAACTCCCAGAGCTTGCTCAAACTCATGTCCATGAGTCTATGATGCCATCCAACCGTCTCATCCTCTGTCATCTGCTTCTCCTGCCTTCAGTCTTTCCCAGCATCAGGGCCTTTTCTAATGGGTCAGTTCTTCACATCCAGTAGCCAAAGCATTGGAGCTACAGCTTCAGCATCAGTCCCTCCAATGAATATTCAGGACTGATTTCATAGGCTGGTTGGATCTCCTTGCAGTCCAAGGGACTCTCAAGAGTCTTCTCCACCACCACAGTTCGAAAGCATCAATTCTTTGGCACTCAGCTTTCTTTATGGTCCAACTCTCAACATCCATACATGACTACTGGAAAAACCACAGCTTTGACTTTTGACATACAGACCTTTGTTGGCAAAGTAATGTCTCTGCTTTTTAATATGCTGTCTAGGTTGGTCATAGCTTCCCTTCCAAGGAGCAAGTGTCTTTTAATTTCATGGCTGCACTCACCATCTGCAGTGATTTTGGAGCCCATATAAATGAAGTCTGTCACTGTTTCCGTTGCTTCCCCAAGACAGCAAGTAAAAGTGATTAAAAAAAGAAACCAAAATGAAACATGGAAGAAAGGGAAAGACATTGCAAATACAGAAGAATTTATTTCTATCCCCACTTTTACAGCTAATCAGTTGTGGGATATTGAGGAAATCATTTAACCTCAGTTTTCTTGTCTGTGAAGTGAGTATTTTGTTATTTAATTAAGTCAAGTCTTATCCGACTCTTTTGCAACCCCATGGACTGTAGCCCACCCGGGTCCTCTGTCCATGGGATTTCACAGGTATTTCCAGTATTCACAAGAATACTGGAGTGGGTTTCCATTTCCTTTTCCAAGGGATCTTCCTGACCAAGGGATCAAACCCATGTCTCCTACATTGGCAGGCAGATTCTTTGCCACCAAGGAAGCCCAAAAGCATACATGTAAGAGTATGTGTGTTTGTGTGCTCACACTTGTATACAAAAGTTCTTAGTTACAGGAGGAAGTTGGAAAAACTAAATCTTGTTACCACAGAGTTTAAAATAAGATCCCCTGAGAATGGATAAATGCGTATGTACGGCTGACTCCCTTTGCTGACCACCTGAAACTATTACATTGTTGTAATTACCACTCCAATATAAAATAAAAATTTTTAAAATAATACATTTTTAAAAAAATAATAAGGCAAGATCTCCTGCTGTCAGATTATATAAATTTGAAAATGATTTCAGAAAACTTTAGCCCCTGCCTGCCCACACCAAAGAGGCCTGAGACCTGGTTCAAGGAGATTAAATTCTTTTTCAGGAAGGAAGATACAACTGGATCAGAGCTGTCCAGAAGTGTCTGCTGATTCCCTCTTAGAAAATCCTTGGGCAGTAATTCTGACCTTGCCTGGAGATTATAAGGGAGAATATTATTATGATCAGCTTTGGGATAGGAATGTGCTTTCGAAGCACATTTTAGACGTGCTTTACTCCTACCAGAGACGTCCGGAAATTTCCCAGGACCTCAGTCTGAAAGGCAAAGGGTGTCTGGTTATAATCGAATCAGACTTTTGTTAAATGTCATTTTGGTGATAAGTCAAATATTTCAGTACGTGTAGTTTGGTCGTTTTTAATTATACCTAATTCAGAAGTGATTTTTCTCAGAACATCATGCTACCTGTTGACATGTGGGTTACCTATTTGGGGAGGATACGTAGTTACCTAATTTAGATCTGGAGTTTTGAGTTGACTGTGCTGAGTGCCCTTTCAGGTTCTCTGAGCTAGCACCCTGCAACCACCAGATATGTCCAGTCCAGCCCTCTGAGTGTGAGGCACCTCCTGATCAAGCACCGGAGGAGAGGACGAATTCTGCTTACATCCACAGGCAAGGCCTCTGATGAGCCTCTGTCCTAAGCTCAGGGCCACCTGTGACCAGGCGAATGCCAGGAACCTGAGCACCCACGCGGCTGCCCAGCTCTGAGCCTTGCTTCTGTCTTGACCACTGCCCAGATGGGACAGCCCTCTGCCCTGGATCTCAGCCTGCCCCCTTGGGTTCTTCACCATGTACCTGGCCCTCGCCAGGCCCTTTTCACCAGGGATTGTTTTTTCCTCTCTTCCACTGCACACAGCTGCCACCTAGATTCTCCCCAGCCTTACAACCCATGGTGTCCTCCTGCCTGGGGACTCTTGTTGCCATGCCCCACATCTCAGGACAGACTTCCTGGCACTGTTAAAGCCAGCCTCAGCCACCCACGTTCATCAAAAATCCGCATGAACACTGTAATTTGAACGACAGGCCATCTCGGGGGAATCAGCCCCCAGCTCGGCTATTCCCCTAGCCGTTCCGGGGGTCTTGCCCCCGAGCCACCTGCTGCTGGTACCCCAGTGTGTACTGATACCAGCTGGGAGGGCTCCACCTCCACTCGTGCCAACAGGCTCAGGAATTCTCCAGGGACACAGAAAGGATTATTGTGGAAAAAGAAGTCTAACTGTTCTCTGCCTCCACTGAGAACAAACTCAGAGGAAACTGTGAGTGATGTATGCACAATAAGTACTTTAGTACTATGGCACAAAGTGCTTTTTGGTAGGTAAAGTGAGATCCAAGTTGCTGTATTAAGTATTGGGTTGGATTGGATTCATACCATCTCACAGGAAAACCTGAATGAACTTTTTGGCCACCCCCAATCGTACCCTCGGTTAAAGTACAACTCTGTTTACCTGCGGCAACAGAATGTAAAAAACTACAGATGTGTTGCAGCAAGAGCTCTTTACCAACAGTCCAACATGCAGGCTCTAAAGCTGAGCATTTTAAAGACATGATTAGGTGGGAAAATACAAAGCTTGAGGTGAACAGCCCAGGTCTTTCAAGGAGAGAGAATGCAGCTGTCTTCAGTCTCTGAAGCTGAGAGGGTGCTAAGGCCGTCCAGACCACAGGCCCTTGTCAGCTCTCAGCCACACTGGAGCCTTTGCGCCTGCTGAATCTGTCTGGAGCCTGTTTCCTCCCAGGGACCAGAAACTAGCCAGCCACCCAGATGCGCCATGTGTTAAAGAGACATCTGGTGTCTTTGCTACCTTTCTGTGGCCAGGGGAGTTTTCCGCTCTGTCTGCAGGGCGCTCGGTCCTCTTCAGTGAGTGCTGTGTGCATTGCTGCATGCGGGTTCACAGGTGCTGTCTAGCTCTCCTCCTTGTGCTGTGCTAGCTCATTTTCCCCAGGTACTTATTCATATGCAGCTTGTCGTGGTCCCTTGATCTTTCTTGCCAAACGATAGTAAGGCATTTTTGAAGTGCTGGAAGTCTTTTGCTAGTGTTCTATCCAGCTGTCCCTGTTTGGTATGTTGGCAAGAGAGTCCTACCTTCCACTTGTGCGGAATTTGCCCATTATTTCTATTCTTGCCTCTCAAGTGGAACCAGGTTAGCAAACGATAGAAAATTAAATCCAGATGCTTTGTGATAAGAAAGATGTTTTGTGAAAAAGACCACTCAGTCATAAAGAACACTCAGAATGAGATTATGCAAATATTCCTATTATCATATTTTCAAGTGGTACAGCACACTTGATTCTGATGCAAGGCAGGGAAATTCTGGTTAGCTTTTTATTTCATTTTTTCTGTTTTAAATGAGCAGAAGAAGCTCACTAAAGCATAAAAGAACTTAGGTTTTCCAAAAGGGCTGCCTCATAATCACCTGTGTGCTTTCACAGCCCACCAGAGATGATGAATAAATTTTACTTTGGCCTCATAGTTTATAATTTACCCATACACTATTGTAACAGAAATGAAAGAGGTTGTCACACTGTTTAATTTCAGGAAACCTGTGATCTGGAAAAGATAAAGCCTGAAGCAAGACGATACTTGGAAAAATCAGTTAAAATGGGAAAAAGAAATGGGCTCCATCTTCCAGAACAAGTACAAAATGTGAGTTTATTTCTTTTTATTAGAAAACAAAAGAATAAATTTTTTAAAATGCAATGAAAAGACAGGAAATTGGGAAACACATGTTTGTAACGTGGAAAATAACTCATAATACAAATGAATTTACAATGTATTTGGTAGTCAATGATTTTAAATTCCACAACTCCTATTAACCTCGTGTTGACTGTCAAACAGCTGATGACTTAATTGTTCTTTAATTCTGTGTGGATTTTATTTGCTTTATGTGTGCCGGGTTTATCTCCCCCCATTCTGCTGTACATCCTCTGATAGCAAGTTCAGGCCTTAATAGTCAACTTGTATTTGTCGTTCCTTTATGCATACAGAGATAGGGCACTGGTAATAAAATCCTTATGATGGAAAGTTTTAAAACCAGCATTTTGGAATGAAACCCTCTGAGTAATATACGCACCATAAAAATGGAGAAATTAGCTTCTCAAACATTCTCCGTTGTCTAATACCCAGTGAGATCTTCCAGGTTCAGAAACTCAGCTACAGAATTAACTCATTCTTCAGGATAGGAGGATACTGCACAGTATGTGTTAAGTCAGCAGTCTCAAGTTTAGTGTGCATCCTAATTACCCAGAGGGCTTGTTAAAGCTCTGATTATACAGGACCCCGCCTCTTGAGAGTGTGTGCTTCAGCAGGTATGATGTGGGTCTCCAGAGTGGGTATTTCTAACAAGTTCCCAAGTGATGTTGATGCTACTGATGAGAAGCATGCTTTGAGAAATTGTGTGGTTTATGTAAGTTTTATAATCTAGAATTTTTAGAAGAGTGGGACAGGTTAATAAATTATCTCATGTGTTTTCTTGTGATTTCCTGCCTATTGCTTTCTTTGATCTCCCACCTAGTACTTTCTGCCCCCGCCCCCGCAATCTAGTCCTTCTTATACAAATGTTAGGGCCCATAAATCACCTTTATTTGCAAATGCTGTATAAAACTAAAACATAGCCTGTTTTCCTAAGGAACCATGGAATTAATTACTCAGTTCTTACCGCTTCATTTACTTCAGTACCCAATACTGATTTGCTAAATTAAAATTTTGGATTGGAAATGATTAAAAGCGTTCATTATCAATAGGCTACCAGATCCATTCATTTACTCAGCAGCTACTTACTGTATATGTACCATGTGCCAGACTCTGCTTTCACTATACCTCCTAGATATATTTAATTCTTAAAAATTCATACCTGATGTCTAACACGTTACCAGGATTACCTTTCTGTACGTATTACATACAGGTTCTCATGGACACAATGTAGAAAATTGCAGAAAACTGTTATCAGGCACGTCTCTAAGAAAGTACTTCCTAAGAGTTGGGTACAGAACCTAGTCTTCATATAAAAGTGAAGCTTCCTTGACTGATGGAGATAAGAATGAAAGTTGCATTTTATTGTTATTGTCCTGTATTTGTATCTTTGTTTCAGGAAATTAAAGCAATGAAGAAGAGAATGAGTGAGCTATGTATTGACTTTAACAAAAACCTCAATGAGGATGATACCTTCCTTGTATTTTCCAAGGCTGAACTTGGTAAAACTCTGTTGTTTTTTTTAAAAATAAGCCCATAATTTAGACAAATAATGTCACCCCACAGTTTACCAAATCAAAGTTAAAAGAATTCTTTAAAAAATGTACCTTCTGCAGAACCCACCACCCCTTGTAGAAAAAGCACAAGCAAACCACACCTAACTTTTAGGCTATAAGAATATATACTGTTTGTAGAGACAGTCTAGAAGAAATTTTATAATCTTGCTTGACAACTCATGCTGGTGTTTAATAGCCTTCAGCGCTTTTAAAATTTTTTGCCTCACAGTGTCCTCTGCATTGTAACTTAAACTGGCATTTTGTTGCTGAGCTGTGTCTGAGTCTTTTGCGACTCCACGTACTATAGCCCACCAGGCTTCTCTGTCCATAGGATTTCCCAGGCAAGAATACTGGAGTGGGTTGCCATTTCCTTCTCCAATGGATCTCCCCGACCCAGGAATCAAACCCACATCTCCTGCATTGGCAGGCATATTCTTTATCACTGAGGCACCGGGGAAGCCCCTGTCACTTAAACTAGCCTTTTCTTATTTGTTACAGATTTGCGCAGGGAGATGGAGGGGGTGCTTAATTTTGCCTGCTCTTCATCAAAATGCCATCTGTACAAGTGCATTGAGGCCTGTTCATATTTTGAATTACCATCTCCCAGGCCACTGACCTCTAACCACCACCCCATTCCAGTAACATCAAAGCAATATTATAAGGATTGTCATTATTTTACTTGAATTTCAATTACTCCACAAAATCCCTGGAGCTTCTTAAAGGCACCATGCCAGTGCTAAATAAACCAATCATGAGTGGAAAAACTGATGTGTGAGAAAATGATTTTTTGCAGGTGCTCTTCCTGATGATTTCATTAACAGTTTAGAAAAGACAGATGGTGACAAGTATAAAATTACTTTAAAATATCCACACTATTTTCCTGTCATGAAGAAATGTTGTATACCTGAAACCAGAAGGAAGATGGAAATGGCTTTTAATACAAGATGCAAAGAGGTATTATAAATGTTTGCCTTTCCTTTGTTTTTATGGAAGATGTTAAGAAAAGGGTTTGCTCTGTTCGCCAGTCTTTAAGTTAACTCAGAAGTGGCTTCCGATTTTTCCATGTAAACATGTTTGTGTGAAGGTCATGCCTCCTAAATCCTCAGACTTACAAGACTTAGCTTTTGGCTTGTTTTTTTGGCAACCTTCTTAGTGTGGCCATAGGTTCAGCAGTTCTAATACAGATTGAATGGATTACAGAAGCTAATGGTCGTATTCTTCTTCCAAGTCAACAGTCTAGGGCTGGTGGAATAACTCTCGTCAATAAGTGACTTCTAAGGCCAGTTTGTCACCATTTTCAAGCCTGTTGGGAAGTGGGAAAATAAAATACAGAGCAAGCATCTTTAAGAAGGCCTGAAAATGACACATGTCAACTCTGTTCACATTCCATTGACCTAAATTCCATCATATAACGGTATCCAACTGCAGGGGAGGCTGGGAAGTAGAATCTTCAGTTGATAGCCATTTGGTCAGCTAAGGGCACTCTATTACTGAGAGGAAAAAAGGAAGAATTAGAAATGAATTCTAAGAGTCAGCTAGCCAGCTCCACCAAACAGTCTGCCTCTCTGGCTATCCAAATAATCATGAGTACCCTTTTTTCTTTCCCCCACACAGAAACCATTGATCATGTGTCAGATCCCAACCAGTTAACTGCCTTTAGCTCAAAGACCAGAATCTCTGAGCAGCATACAGTCCTCCCCAATTATAGCTTCTCATGACCTGGCCGCCTGTGAGAGGGTGGAATGCTTGCCTGGCCTGCTCAGCCCCAGTGGTAGAATAGGAACAGAAAACCACACTAAAGACTCCCATTTGAGAAAGGAAAGAGTGGGAAACAGCAGGCCCATACCAATTCTCGGGAACAGTCTGGCAGAAACTGTAGGGATTTCGAGCTCTGTGAAGTTTCCCGGGATCACCCGTTGGACTTACTTGGGTCTCCTTTCTAGCAAGAATTCCTTTAGCAGTTGTATGCGGTGGCCCCTGGTTTTACCTGCAGGGAATTCTTTCTTGTCCATTATCCTCCATGACTGTATCCTAGATGACTACTGGTATACATTCCTACTGATGCCAGTTTGAAGTCTGAGGGGTATTTTTGTAGGCCCGGCTCACTTATCTTTGGTAATAAAATGCCCTCAGAAACTTAATAGGTTTCTTTTCTGTTTGCGCACAACCAGATTCGTGTTGAAATAACAATATCCAAACCTGCCAAATTTTTTCTCGTATGTGGGCTTCTATACGGTGTCCATCCTCTGGTCCTCAATCTAACAGTGTCTGCTTCAGGGCCCTCCAAAACCATAGACTTGAGGAGGAAGGCAGCACCCTCACCTCTAATCATAGTTCAATAGCGCTGATTGTCAGGAGGACCGAGCAATTGCCTTTCCAGTCATCTGACGCCCCAGATCAGGGGCCACGGGCAAAATTCTCTTAGCAGGACTCTTTTCCCTCTGTCTTTGCCAACTGACCAGTTCTCACTTGAGCTCTTCTCTCTTGTGTAATCTTTCCAAAAGCAGCACATACCAACAAACCTACACCAACATTATTAGTTTTCCCAAACAATCCCCTCAGAGCTAAGACTTGGTAGGTGACTGGCTTGCCTTCCAAGTTATGGTGAGCAACAATTTTTTAACATATGTTATCTATGGTATACTGAATATTACCAGCTTCCTACATGACAGCATCTGTGTCCTCACCTTCCATTCCTGTAGGTTTTTCATTTCTGTTACAGCAGCACTCTATTCCTATGTTTAGTCTCTGTGGGTGTCAGGGTACAGGTTAAACTGATGTACAAAGTCAGCCGAAAGCACAGTGACTCAAATAAGATAAAAATTATTTTTCTTCGGGAAGGATTAGTGGATACCAGGGGCCAGGGAGACTGGGAGATTATTGTTACCAAGTTTCTGTTTAGAAACGTCTTAGAAACAGATAGTGGTAATGGTTGCACAACAGTATAAATGTAATTGGTGCCATGAATTGTACACTTAAAAATTGGCTAAAATGGTATATTTTGTGTTGGGTGTATTTTACTACCTTTTTTTTAAAGGTTTATATCTCTTGCAACTAACAGTACAAAGGTGAGTGGTCCAGAGCTGGAAGATAGCTCTGCTGTCCTTAGTGTGTGGCTTCAAGGTCATTGTTCTCACTTTCAGGTCACAGCTAGCAAGACAGAGATCTATAATGACCCAGAAATTTTACTCATCACCTCATTTATATTCTGTTGTCCCACTGTGTATCACGTGGCCACAGCTAGTTTTAAGAGGGGCTGGGAAAGGGAGACAGGTGACCATGTACCCAGCAAAAGCTCAGAGAATTCTACTACTAAAAGGAAGGATGGGGGAATAATATTGGGGGAAAATTGGCAGTCTAGGGAGACTGGAAAAGGTGAAAGACAGATTCAAACTAGGTAACTTTAGAACTTATATGTTTCTCATATCCATGTTTCCATTCTAGTTTTAAAATAATGTTAATTATAATGCATAATTATGTGGTGTTTGCTCTTGTACCAGGCATTTTTCTCTGTGCTTTATTTATATTCTCCCTTGAATCTTCATGATCACTCTATAATGTAGCTACTTTTATTATGTTTGTCTGCCAGATGAGAAAACTGAGACTTAGGAAGATTGAGTGACTTGCCAACATTTTGACAACTAGTAAATGGTGGAGCCAGATTTTGGTAGTGTGATCTTCCTTAGAAACATGTCTATAAATGATGAGTCAATAACAGTTTTTCTTTGACCTCAACATTTATTTCCTTTCTTTGGGAGATTATTTTTTCCTTTATTGTTAAGAAAACAATAAAGCAGTATCACTATTTGCATTTTAATACAAATAAAATATGTAAAACGTGTGTAATAATTTGAGAAAATCCCTAAAACATTTTTAAGCGTAGAGTTCTGTGGCATTAAGTATATTCATATTGTTGTGCATCCATCGCCATATATCTCCAGAACTTTTCCATCTTTCCCGACTGAAACTCTGTACCCATTGAACACAAACTTCCCTCTCTCCCCACCCACCAAGCCCCTGGCATATATCATTCGACTCCTGGTCTCCATAAATTTAACTTCTCTAGGAACTGCATATAAGTAGAATCATACAGTAATTATCCTTTTGTAACTAACTTACATCACATAGCACAGTGTCTTCTAGATGTGTCCATAATTTGGCATGTGTCAAAATTTCTTTCCCTGTTAAGGCTGAATAATATGCAATACGCACTATATTTTTTTAATCCATTCATCTATTGATGGACATTTAGTATGCTTCTACCAATTGGCTATTATGAATAATGCCACAGTGAACACAGGTATACAAATATCTGTTTGAGTCTCTGTTTCCATTTCTTTGGGATGTATATCCAGAAGTAGAATCACTGAATCATATGGGAATTCTTTGTTTAATTTTTTGAAAAATCATAATACTGTTTTTTATAGCAGCTTTACCATTTTACATTTTCATTAGCAATAAAGGTTCCAGATGTTCTACATCATCATCAATGCTTATTATTCCCCTTTTTTTAAAGGGAAATAAACTTAACAGTACCTAAAATTTTGTTAGGACCCTCATTGCTATCTCCTGAGATTTAAAAAGTCAATTATAATTTCAGAAATAAAACTGGATCATGAATCCAAAAAAAGTCTATAACAATGAAATGGAATAACTTACTAGTTGAGATGTCTAAAAACATTTGACAGTCTTACCAACCTGAAAGTAACGTAATAGCTCTTCTTTTTAGTGCTTCGGATCCATTTAATTATTAAGCTTTATTTTGATTTCCATTGCTGTTTGTTACCAGGAGAACACTGTGATCCTGCAGCAGCTACTCCCACTGCGGGCCAAAGTGGCCACACTGCTCGGCTATAGCACACACGCTGACTTTGTCCTTGAGATGAACACTGCCCAGAGTACAAGGCATGTAACGACCTTTCTCGGTTAGTCTTCTTTTCTTAATTTCTCACATGTTCCTGTTTCTTCTTCTTTTTTTTTTTTCTAATGACTATTTTGCTGCACGGCACCAACTTGACAGAGGGCCTCAAAACCTAATATGCCCTTGAAAATATTATTTTTCATTCATGCAAGAGAAATGTATTGATCACCTGTTATGCATTAGATACTGTACTTGGTTCTAAGGGTTGCTCATGGTTTATATTTCAGTTATAGTCCTTGTCCTGGCTTCATTCTCTCTGTATCTTGATGGGGATTTCTATATTAATTCCTAGCAAGATACCTAGAGACCTACAAGAAGATTAGCCTTTGGCTTTATTCAGTATCACTAGGTGTTTGTTAGTTACAGCATGGCTGCTTATGAATTTGTGTGAAATAAGCTGACAAAGAGGACAAAAATGAGAAGTAGAACATACAGGAACAAGAATATTTTATGTTCCAGAAGCCACTTGTTAATATATAAAAGAATATAAAATAATAGGCATCAAAACTGTTATTTAATAACTGTCTTCACATTCATTTAAAAGCACTTTTTCATTAGTCTTTTTAAAACCACAGTTCTTATGTCCTTGACATTTAGTCTCTGGCACTCTGTCATACTTACTCCTCTTAATCTCAGTGTCGCTATTCCAGTAGTCACTCTGATTTTCTCTTTCATTTTAGTGAAAATAGTTGAATAACATACCCATTGGAAAGATACTAATTTTTGTTTTTATCTTCTCTAGTCAGAGTTTACCAGAGTATGATTTATTTTTCAACTTTCTCTTTGACCCCATTCAGACTTTATTTACTTCTAACTACTAGTATATAATTTTATTAGCGTAGTTAAGTTGGACACGATGAATAATGTATCAAGATCAGCATTCAGCCTGAAATTTAGACCTCTGTGTTCTCAATGGCAGTACCTTGAATTACTAATGTATATGCTGGCATCATATATAACATGTAACAGGTGTGCCATAAATGGTATCTATTCATTATTATATTATTCATTCATGAGACATTTATAAAATAACTGCCACTAATGGAGTGTATGCTACATGGTTGGATGATAGAAAAGACCAAGACGAGGTTCTTTTCTTAATGAATTTTCCGCTGAGTGGAAACAATAGAAATGTGACTTGGTAATTGCCATATGTTCTGATGTATTTTATACAAGAAAATGGCTCAGGGAGTTGACAGCTTTGGCGAGAATGTTTCCCTTAGTGCTGACGACTGTACATACTGAACATTCTCCTTAATGAACTTAATTTTTGAAAGCAGTTTCCCTCTTTTTTAAAATTGGCACATTCCTGTCTGATTCTCTCACAGGCCTAGTCAGAACAACATCTCTCTGTACCTTCCATGAGTTTCCTCTTTTCACCTCACAGCCCTCCTCAAGCCTCTGCATTCACTCATTATGAGTATGCTTCCCAGACATCCACGTCCCTCATAGAGCCAACATTTTTTACCTTACATACGTAACGAACTGTGGAGACCAAACACATAATAAAAGCATACTGCTTTAGCCAAATACAGTGAAATAGTCAAAAACTGACCACAACATTAAATTGCAGTGTCCACCTAAAAAGTAGAAATCCTGTGTCTGAATAGACCTTCTTCATAGGAATAGTGGAGAAGGCAATGGCAGCCCACTCCAGCACTCTTGCCTGGAAAATCCCATGGACAGAGGAGCCTGGTGGGCTGCAGTCCATGGGGTCGCTAAGAGTCGGACACGACTGAGCAACTTCACTTTCACTCTTCACTTTCATGCATTGGAGAAGGAAATGGCAACCCACTCCAGTGTTCTTGCCTGGAGAATCCCAGGGACGGCAGAGCCTGGTGGGCTGCTGTCTATGGGGTCGCACAGAGTCAGACACGACTGAAGTGACTTAGCAGCAGCAGCAGCAGCAGCATAGGAATGGAGTAGTTATTAACTGAGTCCATGACTGTCAGAGGAACTGAGCAGTTTCCAGTAATTCCAATCATAGGTCACATCCGACTTCTCTTCCCTAGCTCTGAGGAGCCAGCAGTGCGGGAGACACAAGGAGACTCGGGTTTGATTCCTGGGTCGGGAAGATCCCCTGGAGTAGGACATGGCAACCCACTTCAATGTCTTTCCTAGAAAATTCCATAGATAGAGTAGCCTTGCAGGCTACAGTCCATGGGGTCACAAAGAGTTGACCCAGCTGGGCACATGGAACAGAACAGAGGAGCCTAACCTCACTGAAAAATAATCATGTTCATGAAGAGTAATTTAGTGTCACTATCACTTCGTTGAGTTCTGTGAGATAAATTTCAGCTTTGTTGATGCTGTGAGGAAGTTGTGGCCTAATTTGGGGGGGTGCCCCCCCAAAAAAAAGAGAGCCATAAAATAAATTACCCTGAAGAGAACAGCAGTGCTGTCATAATAGAGCCTGCTTTCCTCTCTCCCTCCCTCTTTTTCCTTCTCCTTCCTTCCTTCCTCCTGATTTATCTGTATTGAGTGTCACGAAGGAGGAAGCATCATGCTGAACTACTGGTGGTATGTATGGTTATGCTTGCTCCCAAGAGCAATGGATTACTAACTTTTCCCTCTTCCTCACAGATGATTTAAGCCAGAAATTAAAACCCTTGGGTGAAGCAGAACGGGAATTCATTTTGAACTTGAAGAAAAAGGAATGTGAAGAGAGAGGTTTTGAATACGATGGGAAGATCAATGCCTGGGATCTCCACTACTACATGACTCAGACAGAAGAACTCAAGTACTCGGTAGACCAGGAGACCCTCAAGGAATACTTCCCAATTGAAGTGGTCACTGAAGGCTTACTGAGCATCTACCAGGAGTTGTTGGGACTTTCATTTGAGCAAGTGACAGATGCTCACGTTTGGAATAAAAGTGTTACACTTTACTCTGTGAAGGATAAAGCTACAGGAGAAGTATTAGGACAGTTCTACTTGGACCTCTATCCAAGGTACTGAGGATCACAGTGGTGAAGGGACCTTAGAGATTCATCTCCTACCCAGATTGAGACTCTTGTCTTTCATAATTCTCATACATGATTCCTAGTAAAGGGATTAAAAATGTGGGCTCTGAAGCCAGAATGTCTAGCTCCATCACTTACTAGGCAAGTTACTTAATTTTTCTCTGCCTCAGTTTCCTTATGTATATTATAGGTCCTATGGGAATGGGATGGGAATACCAATCATACCTGCTTTGTAACGTTGTTATTAGGACTGAAATGGTTCATCATATGCAAAGATTTTAGAAGACTGCTCAGAATACAAAAAGCGCTTGATAGGTGTGAGCTTCCATCATCACCATCATGATCATCTAGTTTGTGTGCTGCATTTCTTAATTTACTTATTTATTTTTATAATTAGATTCTGTTGTTTTGGTTTTTTTTTTTTTTACTGTGCCACATGGCTTGCGGTATCTTAGTTCTCTGTTCAGTTCAGTTCAGTCGCTCAGTCGTGTCTGACTCTTTGCGACCCCATGGACTGCAGCACACCAGGCTTCCCTGTCCATCACCAACTCCCAGAGCCTACTCAGACTCATCTCTGTCAGGTCGGTGATACCATCCAACCATCTCATCCTCTGTTGTCCCCTTTTCCTCCCACCTTCAATCTTTCCCAGCATCAAGGTCTTCTCCAATGAGTTGGTTCTTCGCATCAGGTGGCCAAAGCATTGGAGCTTCAGCTTCAGCATCAGTCCTTCCAATGAACACCCAGGACTGATTTCCTTTAGAATGCACTTGCTGGATCTCCTTGCAGTCCAAGGGACTTTCAAGAGTCTTCTCCAGCACCACAGTTCAAAAGCATCAATTCTTTGGCGCTCAGCTTTCTTTATAGTCCAACTCTCACATCCATACATGACTACTGGAAAAGCCATAGCTTTGACTAGACAGACCTTTGTTGGTAAAGTAATGTCTCTGCTTTTTAACATGCTATCTAGTTTTGTCATAGTTTTTCTTCCAAGAAGCAAATATCTTTCAATTTCATGGCTGTACTCACCATCTACAGTGATTTTGGAGCCTAAGAAAATAAAGTCTCTCACTGTTTCCATTGATTCCCCATCTATTTGCCTTGAAGTGATGGGAACAGATGCCATGATCTTCGTTTTCTGAGTGTTGAGTTTTAAGCCAGCCTTTTCACTCTCCTCTCTCATTTTCATCAAGAGGCTCTTTAGCTCTTCTTTGTTTTCTGCCATAAGGGTGGTGTCATCTGCATATCTGAGGTTATTGATATTTCTTCCGGCAATCTTGATTCCAGCTTGTGCTTCATCCAGCCTGGCATTTCACATGATGTACTTTGCATATAAGTTAAATAAGCTGGGTGACAATATACAGCCTTGACGTACTCCTTTCCCAGTTTGGACCCAGTCTGTTGTTCCATGTATAGTTCTAACTGTTGCTTATTGACCTGCATACAGATTTCTCAGGAGGCTGGTATTCCCATCTCTTGAAGAATTTTCCAGTTTATTGTGATCCACACAGTCAAAGGCTTTGGCATCGTCAATAAAGCCAAAGTAGGTGTTTTTTGCTGATGAATCAAACCCAGGCCCTCGATAGTGGAAGCACAGAGTCCTAATCACTGGACTGCCAGGGAAGTCTCTGTATTTCTTAATTTAAAATTGACCTCAGAACGTTTATTTTTCAGGTACTCTGCCAATACTCTTAAACCTGTCACCACTCCCTTCAGTCTGGCTGAAAGGCAGCACAGTATTAAGGAATAGGAAAATCTTGGCAATCATTCAAACTTGAGGTGGAATGCTTGAGTGACATAACCTTTGTGGGTCTCTTTATCCACCTCTGTAATATGGGAATGATGTTCCCTTTTCAGGATTGTTCTGTACATTAGATTATTCAATCAATGGTAAGAATTAAAAATATTATTATCTTTGTAGCCTGTCATAACTATGGACTCCACAGTATTTCATCAGACATGAAAGGATTTAGGTTACTCTCTGTGGGCTGCCTTCCAAAACAAAAACCACACTGTTGCAATTGTCCTAAATCAGAGTAAATAATAGCATCTCTCTAGATCAGCAACACATACAAGTTCATAATCTACTGACAGGTGGCTTCAAGAAGGGGCTGGGTAACTCCCATCAGCCAGACAGGAGGCAAAGTTGTCTTATCCGACTGGTTTATGAACTTTCTTTCACTTCTGCTATGATCTAAAGATAAACCCATGTCAGATGTGGATAAGTCTGTTTTTAATTGAATGATGTCAGGATATATAGTTTGAGGCCAAGAATTTCTTCAAGGGGAAATCCTTCAACATCGTAGCCTCCGACAACCGTGCCTCAGTTTGCCTTCTGTGGCCAAAGGGAGCAGTTCTTGCTGCCCATCCTGCTGTTCCTTTGTCCCAGATATAACTGCCGTCTTCTGTACTCGGAGATCTGGTTATTGCTACCAGCACTCCTGTGGGGACCAGAGAGTGATGTTCGAGTGATGTTCCGTGAGGGTGATGACCTAGTTAACAGTCGCTTTCTGTCACCTGACATGCTTGCTTCTCGTTTTCTTTGTCTACTTGACTCAAAAAGAGGATATTTGTAGTAGGTTAGGAAAGACTAATTTCCTTTTTTTTTTTAAATCACATATCAATTTTAATTCATCAAACCCTGAGATTCTCAAATAATAGAAGAAACAAAAACTCAAATAGTTCCAATGTAAGAGTGCAAGGTAAGGGCATCTTTTTAAATCACCGTCCTTTTATAAACAAAATGTAAAGATGTAGTCTTGGAGTAAGGAAACCTCTGAAATTAAGTGAATCAAGATTATTTTTTAAAAGGAAAGATTAAAAGCCCCTCAGTGGCACTGATTTTTAAATTAGTAGCAGTCTTTATGGCTTTTCATAATGGACCAAAAGGTATAAAGTATACCAGGATAAACACTTTCCAGATTACTTTAGTTCATTTTCCCTGTTAAAAATAATATTTATAGACCTGTTTGCCTGTTTAAACAATGGAGTCTAACTACATGAAATCATTGTAGAAACACTGATGGGCCCTTTGAACATCCAGAGACTGGCTGGCTGAAAATGCTATGAAGTTCAGTGCACGGTTTCTGGTGTGTATGTCCATGGATTCTCTTCCTTCCTCTCCGCTTCTGTCTGCCTTCCCTTCCCATTGCCCTGCTCGCTCCTAGCTCAGGCTTGATCAAGTTCTTTTTGTTGTTGTTGACTTACTTCTACTTATTTATTTCAAATAGATTTTATCTTTTATCTTTCTAGATTCACAACAAAACTGACCAGAAAGGACAGACATTTCCCATATATTCCCTGCCCCCACACATGTATAATTTCCCCCATTATCAACATCCCCCACCAGAGTGGTACATCTGCTAACAACTGATTAACCTACATTGACACATCATTATCACCTAAATTATATTTGGGTTCACTCTTGATGTTATACTTTCTTTGGATTTGAAAAAGCATATAATGTCTATAAACCATTAGAGTATCATACAGAGTAGTTTCACTGCCCTAAAAATCCTCTATGCTCTATCTATCCATTTCTTGCTCTGTCACACCAATCCCTGGAAACAACTGCTCTTTTTACTTTCTCCGAAGTTTTGCCTTTTCTGAAATAATGTCATATGTGCTTAGTCACTTGGTAGTGTCTGATTCTTTGCAAACCCATGGACATTAGCCTGTCAAGCTCCTCTGTCCATGAGATTTTCCAGGCAAGAATACTGGAGTGGGCTGCCATTTCCTATTCCAGGAATATCATATAGATGGAATCATATAGCCTTTTCAGATTGGCTTCTTTCATTTAACATTATGCATTTAAGGTCCCTCCATGTGTTTCATGACTTAATAGCTCATTTCTTTTCTTTTTAGCACTAAATAATATTTCATTGTCTGGATGTACCACAGTTTATTCACTCATCTACTAAAGGGCATCTTGATTGCCTCCCAAGTTTTGGCAGTTATGAACGAAGCTGACATAAGCATCCTTGTGACATAAGGGGCTTCCCTGGTAGCTCAGTGGGTAAAGAATCCACCTGCAATGCAGGAGACCCCGGTTTGATTCCTGGGTCAGGAAGATCTGCTGGAGAAGGGATAGGCTACCCACTCCAGTATTCTTGGGCTTCACTGATGGCTCAGCTGGTAAAGAATACGGCTGCAATATGGGAGACCTGGGTTTGATCTCTAGGTTAGGAAGATCCCCTGGAGAAGGGAACAGCTACCCACTTCAGTATTCTGGCCTGGAGAATCCCATGGACTGTATGGTCCATGGAGTCTCAAACAATCAGACATGACCGAGTGACTTTCTAATTCTAATCTAAGCATCCTTGTACAGGTTTTTGTGTGGATATAAATTTTCAGTCCCTCTGGGTAAATACCAAAGAGTGAAATTGCTATATTGTTTGATAAGAGTATGTTTAGTTTTGTAAGAAACTACCAAACTGTCTGCCAGAATGGATGTACTATTTTGCATTACCACCAGCTATGAATGAGAGCTTCTGTTGTTCTACATCCTGTTAGCATTTGGTGTTGTTGGTTTTCTGGATTTTGGTAATTTTAATAGGTGTGTAGTGGTATCTTGTTTTAATTTGCATTTCTCTGATGACATATGATGTGGAATAACTTTTCATATACTTAATTACCATCTCTGTGTCTCCTTTGATGAGGTGTCTGTTAAGGTCTTTGGTATATTTTTTAATCAGGTTGTTTATTTTCTTATTGATGAGTTTTAAGAGTTCTTTACATAATTGTGAAAACAGTCTTTTATCAGATATCTCTTTTGTAAATATTTCCTCCTAGCCTATGGCCTGTCTTATCATTTTCTTGACAGTGTTTTTCTCAGAGCAGAAAATTTTCATTTCAGTGAAATCCTCTTTATTAATTATTTTTCTTTCATGGATTGTGCCTTTCTTGCATCTAAAAAGTCATTGCCAAACCCAGATTTCCTAGATTTCCTTCTGTGTTGTATTCTAGGAATTTCGTAGTTTTGCATTTTACATTTAGGTCTGTGATCCATTTTTTGAGTTATTTTTTGTGAAGGGTGTAAGGTCTGTGTCTAGACTCATTTTTTTTGCATGTGGATGTCTAGTTGTTCCAGCACCATTTGTTGAAAAAAATTGTCTACCCTTTGCCCTTTTGTCAAAAAGAAGTTGACTATATTTATAGAAGTGTATTTTTAATTTCTAAATATTTGGATATTTTCCAGATAGCCTTCTGTTATTTCTGGTTTGGTTCTGTTATTGTTGGAGAGTGTACTTTATATCTTTTCAGTTCTTTTAAATTGTTTTGATATATGTCCAGCATATAATTAGTCTTGGTGAATATTCCATGTGTACTTGAGTATTCTTTTCTGTTGTTGAGAGTTCTACAAATGCCAGTTAGGTGAAGATAACCGATAATGTTGTTCAGGTTTTTTGTATCTCAGCTGATTTTCTCTTGGCCTGTTCAGCTAATTACTGAGAAAGGAAGCCTCTAAATGACTTGGCTGTTTCTTCTTTCAGTTCTATCAGTTTTTGCTTTGTGTATTTTTTTAAATTGAAGTATAGTTGATTTATAGTGTTGTGTTAATTTCTGCTGTGCAACAATGTGATTCAATTATTTACATATATATATACACACATTCTTTATATATATATGTGCTTTCTTTCTTTTCTATTATGGTTTATCATGGGATATTGAATTGCTTAATATATTTTGAAGTTCTGCTTTTAGATATATACATATTTAGAATTGTTATATTCACTTAGAGAACTGTCCCGTTTATCAGTACATAATGTTCCTTATTATCTTTAGTAATATTCTGAGTTAACAGGTATTTTCGTTTAGCACTTTAAAGATGGCATTCCATTGTCTTCTGGCTTGCATAGTTTCTGACAGGAGATGGCTGTAATTCTTATCTTTGTCCTACTACGTGCAATGTGTTCTTTTCCTCTGACTGCCTTCAAGATTTTCTCTTTGTTCATCATTTTTAGCAGTTTCATACACTTAGGAATACGGGATTTTTTTTTTTTTCTGGTTCTTTGTTTTGTGTTTGTCTTCCTTGGTGTTCTCTGAACTTATTGGATTTGTGACTTAGTGTCATTAATTTTGGAAAATTCTCAGTTATTCTTTTGTTTTGTTTAGATTTTTTGGCCTATACTGCACAGCTTGCAGACTCTTAGTTCCCCAGCCGGGAATTGAACCCAAGCCCTTGGCAGTGAAAGTGTGGAGCCCTAACCACTGAACCGCCAGGAAGTCCCCTAATTTTGGAAGATTCTAAGCTATTCTTCAAATATTTCTTCTGTCTTCTATCCTCCTTATGAAAGTCCAGTTGCATGTTTAGTAGGTCATTTGATATTGTCCTGTAAGTCTTGATTCTCTGTTCTTGTGTGTGTGTGTGTTTGTATGTTAGTAATTTCTCTTGACCTATCTTTGGATTTAGTGATTCTTTCCTTGGCTGTAAGAAGTCCATCAATGAGACTATCACAGGCATTCTTCATCCTTATTACTGTGCTTTTCACGTCTAGCATTTTCATTGTATTCTCATAGTTTCCAGCTCTCTACCAAAATTATCCTTCTGACTGTGCAGACTGTCTACCTTTTCCTCAAGAATGTTTAACATTTAACAATTTATTTTAAATACTCTAATAGCTGTAACATTTTTGTCATATGAACCTATTTTTCTTGCTCTTTTTGCCTCTTGACATTGTGTTTTTTCCTTGTGTCTTCATATGCCTTACAATTTTTTTTAAGTCAAATATCTTACATAAAACAGTAAAAACTAAGATAGTCTTTATACCTAGCAGTGGGCACATACTTGCTAGACCTTTAATGTGAGTGTCTGATTCATTCTATTTAGTACTGGAGCTAGATTTGGGCCTTGTTATTGCTATGGTTAACCTCAGTGAACCCAAAGCTTCAGCTCAGATTCCTGTATTTTTTTAGGATGAGAGCTTATTTGCCAGAGTTTTTTTTTAGTCTCTTTTCCCCACTCAATGTGAGTTTGTCCATGTGTTCTGTGCTTTAAAGAGGTCTCTTCATGCTCTTGCTCCTCTCCTTGTAGTAGACTGCTGTTCCTTATTACTGGATTCCTATTAGCCTTGTTAGGGGAGTGTCGCTTCTGTTGTTCAGATTAAAGGTCAGTCTTAGGAAGGCTCTGGGTCCCTGGGTGTTAGGAGTGGGCCTATTCAGTGAATCTGCCCCATCCTCAGCTGTAGGTCTGGGCTGAGGATGTTTTCCTGCCCCCCCTTCAGAGTAGAGTTTTTTTTTGTTTGTTTGTTTGTTTTTCTGTTACCACCCCCCAGTAGCAGTGAGTTTTTAGCAGTGCTCTTAAGGCAACAGTGTTTTTTGCCTTTAAGGTCCAGGCTCATGTTCTCTAGGAGAAAGATGAAACAGACCTGGGCAGGGCTCCCTTCCACCAGGCCTGCATCAGCACTGATTCTTTCTCAGTGCTCTCATCCTGCCCCTGACTTTTTCGTGTGTACCCAGTAAGATCTGTGGAGAAGACCTTGCAAATGGATGCAAAATTTCCCTTATCTAATAACTCCTAGTGGTTCCCTACTTTTGCTGATCCACCATCAATCTTTATCAATTTGTTAAAAATTCTCTTACTGGTGTCTATAGGTTAAAACACACACACACACAGAAGCAAAAAAAAAAAAGTGTTTGCTTCCTTTACCTCTATCCTTGGAGGCATCTGTCTTAGACTGTAGGTTGGTTGCCCTTCAACTTTCACTTTATGATGGGTTCAAGAAAAGTCATGATTTGCAGGTTGTCCATCATGTTGCTGTAAGAATAGGATCAATGCCCTATTCAGCTTGATTTTTAATCAAGCTGTTTCTTAATGGGAAGCTGTAAAGAGACTAGTTTGTTTTTGTTTTACCTGAATAACTTCAGCAGGAAAAAAACAGTTATGAGTCATCAAGAAAAATTAATACAGAAAAAGACTTAAAAATCAAAACATCAAACTAAACTTAAATGTATTTTAGTGCTCTGAGCAAAGAAAAGAAGAGGAAACCTATTCCTATAACAAAGTCTAACAGCCCTTAGCTTCTGGAGAGATCATCACAGATCTCACATTGTCCTAGCATAGATGACTTTATAGTATAATTTATGCTTTTTTTCCCAGACTAACTAAAACCATTCTGTTTCCAAAAAGGCCCATCTGGTTTATAAAAGGAGCTCATTTAATTATGAGTATTGATTCTCCCCTTATTGAATAAAAGAACAACTTTACTATCTGGATTTTAGTTTTTATCAGTTTTTTTAAATCAATTTTAATTTTAAGGAAAAAGTGCCTAGTAAGTCAAACTCTATATCTTTTATCTCATATTTGCCTCAATGCTATTTAGTGTTTAATGACTCCATCTTTGAAGACGAAAAGCAGGAGCATGTTAAAATAAATTGGACGTTCAGCTATACCCTATTTGAGGTATATATTAATTCTTACATTAAGATTTCAACACAAGAAACCTTGGAAATATACCTCATATCAAGTGATAGTGGGTTTTCTGTTTTTCATTGTTTCATTTTGACAGAACGTTGGCCTGCTTCATAAAAGGTGAGTTAAATGTTTCAAAGCATCTTCTGTTATCAAAAGAATGAGAGAGGCCATGCCAGTGTTCTTGCTAGAGAAGAGTGTGTGAATCTCACCAACTATGCTTCTGGTCCCTTAGGGAAGGGAAGTATAACCACGCAGCCTGCTTTGGTCTCCAGCCTGGATGCCTCCTGCCTGACGGGAGCCGCATGATATCCGTGGCTGCCCTCGTGGTGAACTTCTCACAGCCACTAGCAGGTCGTCCCTCTCTCCTGAGACACGACGAGGTGAGGACTTACTTCCATGAATTCGGTCATGTCATGCATCAGATTTGTGCACAGGTGAGTGCTTGTTTGTTTGTTGTTTTTAATGGTAAACCTACTAATTGCTTTTCCAGAATTTTTTTTCCCACAGATTTCTCAACTTGTTTCTTAGCATGTTTCTCTCAGAAGCTGAACATGTTCAAAAATGTCATAGGCCTTATACAAAACCACATTTTTCTGATTGTGTCCTCTTTCACCACATATTTTTACTCCAAGATCCAGCCACTGATGAAAGAGCTTCATTGAATCCTATCCTGTGGCATGAGTGCATGCGCGCTCAGCCGTGTCTGGCTCTTGCGACCCCATGGACTGCAGCCTGCCAGGCTTTGTCTGTGGAATTTTCCAGGCAAGAATACTGCAGTGGGTTGCCATTTCCTTCTCCAGGGGATCTTCCCAACCCAGGGTTCAAACCCTGCATCTCCCCAGTGTTTCCTGCATTGCCAGGTGGTTTCTTTACCACTGAGCCACCTGGAAGCCCCACCCTATGGAAAAAGAAAGAAAACTATTGTTAAGGAAGGGTGTCAAATTTTTTTTTTTCCCTTTTAAATCTTCTCCTCAGAGGACTTTGGTGTAAGCTTCAGAGATAAACTGTGCTGTAATCTGTCTCTTATGCTTATTAATGCTTTGTTTAGTTCAATGGTTTTCAATCATCCAGACTTTATACTCCTTTTTAAATAATGAATAATTTCTTATACCGTCCTTTACTAGGCGTCAATTAAAATCACAGATAACCTGGTATAACCCTGGGGGGAATTTACCAAGAAAGAGATGTGTGTGTGCAATGGATTGCAACTAATTTCTCTTTATTTATAAAAATGAAAAGTATATTTATTCTCAACTTCATAACACAGTCCAGTAAACTAGGCCCAGACTGTTCTAGGATGAACCATGTGAACTTGCTAATATTTAACCACTGTTGACATGAAAACATCTAATTCAGTTGTTCAACCTAACAGTTTTTAAAATTGATATTTACATAAATGGAGGGACAGCTTTCCAAATTGGAAATCTCCACTCATCTCTAAAGGTGAACTTTTTAGAAATAAACTCTTTATTAGAATAGTTTTAGAGTTAGAGAAAAATTGCCAAGATAGTACTCCTCACCTTGTTTCCCTTACTGTTAACATCTTACAGTACATTTGCCAAAACTAGGAAGCTAATTTGGTGTGGTTAGACTCAACACTTGGATTTTTCTAGTTTTTCCCAAACTGTCTTTTCTATACAGATTTTTTTTTTTCAAATATAGGTAATATCCTCACTAAACATAAATGAAAGCATTTTGTTTATATTTTTAAAATTCTGGGCCCACCAGGCTCTTCTTTCCACGGGATTTTCAGGCAGAAATACTGGAATTGGTTGCCATTTCCTTTTCCAGGGGATCTTCATGACCTGGATCGAACAAGGATCGAACCCTCGTCTCCTGTGTCTCCTGCATTGCAGGCAGATTCTTTACCCATTGAGCCATCAGGAAAACCCCTTAATATCCTCACTGAACATAAAAGAAAACATTTGTTTACATTTTTCAAGTCCTAAGCATGGTAGTATAGTATGACATAATGAAGAATTCAGGTTACATGTGAATAAACCTGAATCTTGCAGCAAAAACTGCAGACTGATACGTAAGTGGTTTTGTCAACTCAAGACCAAGAGTAGTATAGCCACTTGTCTTAGTTCAGAGTGCTATTAATATAACAGAATACCATAGATTGGGTGACTTATAAATAGCATGTTGTCTTGACATGTGCAGTTCAATGCTGGACATCCAGCATCCCACACCTAGAGTAGCCCCTAATCGTTGTAATAACCAAAAATGTACCCATTCTTTTTCAGAAAACGACTATCACTTTTGTTAAAAGAAAAAAAAAAAAAACTATTTAGCTCCTTCAGCATTTTATCTTTACTTCCTGGTGCTTCCATGTTCTATTTTTAAAAAGCAGAGGGGAATAGGATATGAATCTATTCAGATAAATAAATCCTGGTATACTAATACAGCCATTTCTACTCTCTATTTAATCCAAAGAAAATAAAGCTTTCAGAATAACATAAATTTTCTTCCTTAGATAATTTTAAAGTCTTATTTTCACAGCAATAGGGTTCCTGAAATATTTATTTTCCATCAGTGTCCGGCATTTCCTTTAAGTAGAATAAAACTAGATTCCATTTTTCTAAAACATTTTTATGAATAATTTGGAAAAGTCAAATATTTTTCTTAATTTCAGACTTATGTGACTTAGATTATCTAAGATCCAGTTATGTACTTCTACATAGATAAACAGGAGATCTTCTTTGGATCTGAGAACCTATGAAAATCTGATTTAAGCTATAGAAGTCTCTTCAAGAAAAATGGACCTAAAGTTACACAACCAAATTTTTACATGGAATTTCAAAGGGCTGCTAACCCCCTAAAGCCTAGGTCATACTGAATTCCAAGTTAAGAACTATTTCCTCCTTTGTTTGGACGTTAATTATCAGCTAATGATTTCATGAGGAAGTCATTTGGTGTCTTAATCACATTTATTAAAATAATACTGATCCTCAAATAGGGTTTTCTGTGTTTTTGATGCATGTTCTTATTTTGAAACACGACCCTCATTTAACCTTAATATCGTATGCTTATCATGTATTCACAAAGCAGTTCTCTACTATTCTGTTATTCTCATTATTTCTTATATTAATTTTGATCCTTTGAAGTACCCACTTTAGTACTGGAAAATAAATTTCTTGGTACTGTTTCATTTTAAAGCTCTGTGACTCATGACTGAAATAAATATACACTTATATGGATGAACGATATATGAATATATAATTATATATGTGACTGAACATGCTTATGAATATATATGAATCAATATGTATACTGATATACTGATGATAGTATATATAGTGATGATCAATATGTATACTGATGAATGAAATACATGTATGTTTCATATATAAATATACATACATATATATGAATGAACTATGTCTGCACGTATATAATTATATGTGACAACTATCTATATATGAATCAGTGAAGAGCCGATTCATTGGAAAAGACTCTGATGCTGAGAAAGATTGAAGGCAAAAGGAGGAGGGGGTGGCAGAGGATAAAATAGTTAGATAGCATTATTGACTCAATGGACATGTATTTGAGCAAACTCTCAGAGTTAGAGGTGGACAGAGGAGCCTGGTGTGCTGCCTTTCATGGGATCGCGAAGAGTCAGACACAACTTAGCAAGTGAACAACAACAAATATATATGAATCAGTATATATACTGGTATACTGATGGTGAATGATATCTCTTGAAACAGTAGACTATATTCAAAGACTTTGCCTAACCTCCTTCATGAACATAAAATGTGTCATACAGATGAATAGTGTATGTAGTACAATCCCTTGTTCGGTCATCTCCTAATGAGATTATCATTGAAAAATCTCTTGTTTGTTAATCCTTTCAAATGTCCTATAATATTTTAAGATCTTTTAAAGTAATGTATTTGAAACCAGTGATCATTGCTTTTGTCTTAAAAATCACAGAGATCCACATATTTGCAGCTTTATAATGATTTTAAAACCTTTTGTACTGACCTAAAGTAGATGGCAATGAAAAAGCAGTATAATAGTTTCTGTGTGCAATAATACTTCTGACTTATCTGAGAAATATATAGTGAATTTATTAATTTGCCATATATATTGAGTAGATTGGTTTTAAGATATGGCAGCCAAGTGTTTCAGTTCTCCAGGCTGGCAGTTTGCAAGTTTGATGACCAAAAGAGCTTGCTAGAGCTTGTCATAGTAATATTTAAATAGGTCAGCAGGAACATCCAGTTTTCAAACATGTAGATGGACTAGTTGAAGGTGTCTACTATCTCATCATTCAGGAGATGAGTTTCACTCATACCTTTGTGTTTACACTATAGGGTAGATAATTTTGACGATAGCAGTCAGGAGGTGGCATCTCTAGTATCTGTTCCTGTTTCATGGCTTTTTTGTGGTTTGGGCTGTCAGTAATTGCTGGCCTTTTGAACTTCTGTAGAAAAGAAGAGTAATGCTTCTTAACAGTTTCCATCGTGCTGTCTGTATTGGTTGTGCATTAAGAGCAATAATGAGTTTTGAACTGTTAGAGGTCATTATTTTAAAGCAACACATAAGAATCACAATAAAGCCTTATTAAAGTGAAAGAAAAACTTCACATTTCAAATAATCTGTCCATTTCATCTAAAAACTAACAGTATTTTGTCTGCTTTAAATATTTTGGATTAGACACTATTTTAAATAAATATAGCCTATATCAGTTAGGAAGCACCCTAGTGTTATAAAAAGAGTACTGGATTAAAAAATCATTCATGTATTTGTGGGCCTGGCTGTTTGACTTTTGGCACATTTTTCAGGCAACCCACTCCAGTATTCTTGGGCTTCCCTGGTGACTCAGCTGGTAAAGAATCCGCCTGCAATACGGGAGACCTGGGTTCGATCCCTGGGTTGGGAAGGTCCCCTGGAGGAGGGAAAGGCTACCCACTCCAAAATTCTGGCCTGGAGAATGCCATGGACTGTATAGTCCATGGGGTCACAAAGAGTCAGACACAACTGAGAAATTTTCACTTTCAACCTCCTTGAGCCATCTCTTTTTTTGTTACTCATAAAATGGGAACAACAACAATTCTCATATATACCTCCCTGGAGTGCTGATGTGATTAAATAATGTCTGAAAAGGTACTTGGAAAAGAATAAAGTGCCGTACATATCTGAAGTGTTCTTGTAACTATGCTTATATATAATTCAGCTCTTTTGAAATCAATAAGTAGCACACAGGTCATAATTTAAGAAGGTTATAAAGACTGCCATGAAGAAAAGCACTGTCGCTTCAGATTTAAGAGAGTTCACAAATGCCTACCCTCCATGGGTATTGGGTAAAGATCTATGGAAGGTGATTGGAAACCATCACATTTGTCTTTTTGTTTTGTTTTAATGATTCCTGCCTACTTAGAAGTTTGGTTCCTAGAGCTCGAGCAGAATGAGCACTTTGTTTATGCAT